TGTTTAAAATTATTGAGAGAGCAGTACAATGAACATCCACATACATTTACCCAAGAATTCAACAGTCAACATTTTGCCACGTTTCCTTCCTTTCTCTCTCTCTCTGTTTCTGTTGGGGTGTGAGTGTGTGTGTGCATATATACGTACATACATAACTTTCTTGCTGATCCTAAATGCTTCAGCTATATCTCCTAAAAATAAGGATACAAACCACATAACTATCATAACATTCACACATAAGAAATCAACATCAATACTGAATTTTCCCCAATTGTCCTCCAAATATCTTTCATAGCTATGTTTTTGATCCAGAATCCAACCACGGCGCATGCATTGCATTTTATTATGTCACTTTAGTGTCTTTTAATCTAAAAAGTATCCCTGTCTTTTTTTAATGTCTTTCATGACAGACATATTTGAAGAGTTCAGGCCAACTGTTTTTTAGAATGAGCCATATTCTGTTTGTTTTTTGGTCGCTGGCTGGTGACATTGGTGTTATGAGGCTGCGCTCTAACCAACTGAGCTGACAGGCCAGCCCATATTCTGGATTTGTGTGATTGCTTCCTCATGATTAAATTTAGGTTTAATTTTGGTATGAAGTCTACATAAATAACTAAGTGCACCATTTATTGCATTATATTGGGCACATATTTTCATACTGTCCCATTGATGGAGATTTTAAGTTTGATATCTTAAGGTGGTGACCATCAGATCTATTATTCCCTTTGTAATTAATAAGCAATCTGTAGGGTCAGATCATGTGAATAAAAGATTGTTCCCTAACAGTTTTTTCCCAAATGGTTTATTACCCATTTATGATCTTTCCCAAAATCATAAATACCTTGAGGGTTGCAAAATGGTGATTTTTCTAATTCTATCTTTCCCTCTACATATATTTCCTCCTGTATTCCTGTAAAGAAGAGCTTTCCTCCCTTTTCCACCTTTGCTGCTTTCCCTTTCCTCCACCTGCTGTTTTTTCAATGTCACTTGGACTCATGAACTTTTAAAAAATACACTATTCAGTATATTATAATCAATTACCATAATAGTTATTTTCAGCACTTAAATTACCCTCATTTAGCTAGTGGGAGCCCTTCAAACTGGCCATGTACACTTTTTTTTTTTTTTTTTCCGTGTCCGGCAACGGATCGCAACCCTCAGTGTTGCCCCCGTACCGGACTGGGACCGGCAACGGGATCGCAACCCTCGGTGCTGCCCCCACGCCTCGCTCAGCCAGTGAGCGGGAACCGGTCTGCATGTGGGATCTGAACCCTCGGCGGGAGCGCCTCCGCGCTTCCCAAGCGGCGCACTAGCGCATGCGCCACCGGGCCGGCCCCCCGTGTACACTTTTATGTAACTTCATTTTTTAAAAACTTTCTTGCTTTCTGAGACAACAAGGTGTTCCAGATTAGCCTCATACTTTCCCTCCTTAGGCCTGAGCTGTTTCTCCAAGGAGTCTCTGTTCCTTTCAGTGGAGAAAAATATTAAGAAACTAAGATCTGATTGTAAGACCTGATCATTGCTACTAAGGTGATATTGCTTCTTGGTCTTTTTAGTTGACCGAGCTAGGAGATATTTTTTGAAAAGTCATCATTTTATACAGATTCCTTCAATTCACATTCCAGTGTCACAGAGTTCTCCTCATCTCCCCCCATTAATATTTGTATGTTCCTTCTCCCACAATGAGAACCCTACTTTCCAACAATACCTGTAAATATATTCATTCGCTCTCTCAATATCCCCCAGTTGGTATCAGACCATTATTACACCACTAACAAGCCTAAGGAGACATCAGGATTTCTTTGCAATTTTTCTTTTTGTACTTAGAATACATCTCACTAAGGATATATACTCAGAATATTGTGCTTGGAAGTTACTTGAATTCTTTCTTTTTGATATACCTGTTTCTGTTTTATCTTATTTGAAGAATTGCTTTTTCATCTTTTTGAAGTCTTACTCCCATTTCTGTCCAATTTACTCCATTCCCACCCATCTGCTATAGACACTTTTAATATAGATTTGATTTCTGAGCCATATAAATGTCTTACATAAAATTAAATTAAAAAGGATGATCAATAAATAACGACTATACATCCTCTATTTTAATTGGTTTTTTTTTGGCAGCTGTCTGGTACAGGAATCGATCTCAATTTCCTTCATGATGTTTTTTGCCTGTGTCTGATATTAATTCTGTGACACCACACTTGATGCTCTTTTCCAGTCTCCCTTGCTGGTTCTTCCTCCTCTATTACTTCTAAACAATGGTGTGCTTTTGGGCTTTATCCTCTGCTGCTGCTGTTTTTCTATTCTCTCTTCTGATTTCTTCTTGCCCTGTGCTTTTAAATTCCATCTGCAGTTGATACTCATTATTAGTGATTCTGTATTTCTGACTTGCTAAAATTTATTTGTAATCCCCAAATCAGTATTTCTGGTGCTTTTGTGGTCATTCATGGATATGCACAAGTGGAAAAAAATTTGAGTCTCTTGATGTGCATTATCTCAGCTGAGATGAATAAGATGATGCTCTGCCTTGTTTTTTTGTTCTTTTAAAAAATTTTTTGCCTTCTTGTTTTTAACTCTCATGCTGAAAGTTAGTCCTACATTTTTGTATTTTAGTGCCTTCTGTTTGTGATTTTGTTTTTTATAATGGGCACCAAGTAAAGGCTGAAGTGTTGTCTATTGTTCCTAAACACAAGAAGGCTGTGATGTGTTTTATGGAGAAAATACATGTGTGAGATAAGCTTCACACAGGCGTCAGTTAGTGCTGTTGGCCATGAGTTCAGTGCTAATGAATGAACAATTTATTTTCAATAAGGATTCTTTAAACAGAAACACACGTAAAACAATTTTATGTATTGATTGGTTGATGAAATGTGACCAGAAGTTCACAGGAACCTAACTCTGTATTTTCCCTAAGATCAATCATTCAGTATTTGCTAATTCAGTGTTCATGATGACTTTCTAGACCATAGTTACTGTGAATGAAAATCAACTGTGTATGTTGTTGGATCTCTTAAGTTGTATGTCTGAACTCCTATATTCATATATTCAACTACTTCTCATCTCCATGTTTGGATATTTAATAGGCATTTTAAACTTAACATCCCACAAACAAAAGTCTTGTTTGCATCATAAATCTTTCCCATCTCAGTAAATTGTACCATTATTTATCTACCCAGACCTCAGGACAAAAGCCTAGGAGTCAACCTTCATTCTTATTATACCTGGCACATCTAATCTATCAACACATCCTGTCACTTTTAGTTTCATGTATACCTTGAATCACATGTTGATTGCTATCTTGCTTATAGCCCTGGTCCAAACTACCATCTCTTACCTAGGCTACTACAATAACTTCCTAACTAGTCTCCTTGCCTCCACTCCACTCCCTGCCGATGTCAATCCTCTCATCTCACTCCACTGCAACCAAAATAAAATCCAAACTCCAAACAGTGGTGCTATATGATCTGGCATCTGACTGCTCTCTGACATCATCTCTTCACACTTTGTTTTCTGTGCTCCCTTTTCATCAGCCTTTGTCCTGTACCTTAAGCATACCAAGCTTGCATTTTTCTCAGGGCCTTTGTGTTTACTGCTGCTTGTATTTAGAATGCTTCTCTCCTGATTTTCATATGACTGCTTTCTTTACATCATTCAGGTCTTTTCAATGTGGCCACTTTTGAGCAGCTCCCTATTCATTCTCTTTAATATTGCCCTTTTTATTTGCACATTTCTTGCCTGTTTTCCCAAGGTAGAATGAAATTTTCTTAAAGTCAGGAACTTTATCTTTTTGATTGTGGAATCCTCAGTATCTAAAATACTGTCTTATACATGGTAGAGTTTCAGTAAATATTTATGGACTGACTGTTGATTAACTAGGGACTCTGCTGATGTATCTTTCATGGTTGATTGGCAGAACTAATTAGATTGTGAGAATTTTTCTGTATTTAGGTACTGTGTTTTATCCAGATCAGAAGTCTGTGAGGTAAATCAGAAAGAACTGGAGTAATTTAAGACAAACCTAGAACAAACAAAAAAACCCCAATACTATTTCTCTATATATACCATTATTGTTTAGTTCTGAAGTAATTTTCCAATAAATAAATTACTAGGTGGAGATAAATATTAAAATTTCATAACTAACTCTTTCACTTGTGCCTGGGATAATAATTTGTTATTTGAGGTGTAAAGGATGCTAATTTTATCTATTTTTTTTTTTGTCTTTTTTTGTGTCCGGCAACGGATCGCAACCCTCAGTGTCGCGCCCGTACCGGACCGGGACCGGCAACGGAATCGCCACCCTCGGTGTTGCGCCCGCACCTCGCTCAGCCAGTGAGCGGGAACCGGTCTGTATGTGGGATCCGAACCCTCGGTGGGAGCGCCGCCGTGCTTCCCAAGCGGCGCACTGTAGCAGTGCGCCACCAGGCCGGCCCTAATTTTATCTATTTAACAACTAAAGTATCTTATTTGGGAATAGACATCTGATAACCCATAGCTTTTTTTTTTTTTTTAACTGGCAAATTGATATTTATTGTTCCTCAAAGTCTGTGTTAGGAAGAAGAAAGAACGTGGGACATTCTGAAGCACAAATATAGTCGAGTCCTTGCAAGTGGTGTTAGCATCATGGATTTATTTATATGACCACAGGATATTTAGTTGTCTCCCATCTTTATGGAGCTCACTTTAGGCATTCATTATAAAGCAAATTATTTCACATATTAGGTTTAAAAAATGGAAGGGCAGGCAAGGTTCATCTCTAAGCATTACTCATGATCTACATAGGACAATCAAGGTTGTTAGCAGGCAGAATGGAGAAAGTTTAGACTTACAGAATCTTGGAATTAGAGGGAATATTAATGATACTCCTGTGTAAACCTTAGTACAGTGAATAAATTTAGTGTACTCTGGATTATAACTGAACATCAAGACAGACATTTGACCAGGTTTGTGATGTCCTGATGTTCTTTAATCATGTATCTCATACTCTGTATTCCCTTCAGGCTGGCCCTGACTGCCATGAATAAATTTGAAGAAGCAGTAACAAGTTATCAAAAGGCACTAGACCTTGATCCTGAAAATGATTCCTATAAGTCAAATCTGAAAATAGCAGAACAGAAGTTAAGAGAGGTATCCAGTCCTGTAAGTTGTTAATGCCAAATGAGTGAAATGTTTTGTCATTCACAACTTATTGTAATTAAATTGTAGCTGTTGGAATGTTTCTCAGATATAATTGTTTTACAGATAGGAACTGGATTGAGCTTTGACATGGCTAGCTTGATAAATAATCCAGCCTTCATTAGTATGGTGAGTATATTTCCTTTTCTGCTCTACTGGCTCTGTTTTCCACAGAGCTATATGAGTATAATTCTAGAACTTTTTAGAAACAAAAGGGAGCTTTTATGGTGGTGGTGGTATGGAGTGTCGACATAAGGTTATGGCAGAGGTTCTTAACCTGTCCATGCACCTCTTTGTGGGAAAGCAATGGGTGGACTTCAGGAAGCCATGGATTCCCCAAAATTGTATATACAAATTTGTGTACATGTGGATATGTGCATTTTTCTAGGGAAAGAACCATATTTTTCATTAGATTGGCACAAGGGTCTGAAAATACATGAAAGGTTAAAAACCACTCTCTTGCATGCAAGTAGCCCTAGGAAGATACCTAACGACTTAGGTCTCAGGATTTTGGCTATAGTGGTTCACTCAGCTTGCCCCTTAACCTTGTCTGCCTTCTTTTCTAAAGAGTTTCTTTCAACTTTTAATTCTAAGTCTCATATTTATGTACTATATTCTTAAAACCAACAATATAACTTATATATCTTTTTGAAAACATACATGCTCTGGTTCAATATGTTGTAACTTTGCTTTAGGGGTCTAGGATGTTATCTGGTCATATAAAGCTCTTTGAGTGACTATACTTTCGATGAGAACTATTCACCATATTCTATGCCCTTGGAAGGCAGGAATCAGTTCTTATTCATCTTTGTTTCCTTCAAAAAATGTCTTGCATCCATTAAATCTTCAGTTGAATTGAAATGCACAGATGATTCATTACCAATGAGGTTAAGAAGTCTTGAGCAATTGGTGGGTCCTCCCCACCACCCATCAAATTTAAGTCGACCTATGAGAGTACTTCAAAAAGTTCATGGAAAAATAGAATTAAAAGATAATATGAATCTTTCCATGAACTTTTTGAAGTACCTCATCCATGCTAGCAAATGTGGGTTTTTTTTTTTTTTTGTCTTTTTCCGTGTCCGGCAACGGATCACAACCCTCAGTGTCGCGCCCGTACTGGACCGGGACCGGCAACGGGATTGCAACCCTCGGCGTTGCTCCCGCGCCTCGCTCAGCCAGTGAGCGGGAACCGGTCTGTATGTGGGATCCGAACCCTCGGCGGGAGCGCCGCCGCGCTTCCCAAGCGGCGCACTATAGCAGTGCGCCACCGGGCCGGCCCGAAATGTGGGTTTTTTTGTAGGTTTTGAGACATTTTTTAACATGGTTACCCATTTCCAGGACTCAGGTTATGCTATTGTAATAGGATGTGAAAATGGAAATCTTTTAATTTCAGATTTGGCTTAGACTCTAAGCTGCTATGAACTAAAATAAGGTAGGAGACCACCATGTAGGTAGGAGCTGTAAAAGGTGGGGGGTTTAAAACATGTTTTGTGACTCTTTAAAAAAGGGTCAGGTTGACAGACATTACAAGGGGATTTTTGGAGAGAGCTATTGCAGTTCCAGAGCCCTGTTCCATGTGTGAAGGAAGTAGGGAGGCCTGCTCTCATCTCAAGCCCACCAAGAAAAGGCTTTTCTCATCCACTCAAAGAGCTTTTTGGCTGGCCGGTTAGCTCAGTTAGTTTGATCACTGCCTTGTAACACCAACGTCAAGTCCTCATCTCAAGCCCACCAAGAAAAGGCTTTTCTCATCCACTCAAAGAGCTTTTTGGCTGGCCAGTTAGCTCAGTTAGTTTGATCACTGCCTTGTAACACCAACGTCCAGGGTTTGGTTCCCTGTACCAGCCAGAGGCCAAAAAAAAAAAAAAGGAAAAGAAAAAGATTTCTATCTGGCCTTCGGTTGGGAAGCCAGTGGACTGGTGCTTGACTTGCCAGCTAAAGAAGCCAGCGGCAGAATTAGCTATGTGGTTTGGGCAGTTACTGTAAATGATGGTAGCAGTGGGGCAGAGGTGTATTTCCTATGGACAAGGTGAGCACACATATGAGACAGTGTGTCTATATATGCCCAAGAGGGCTTCCTGGACAGGACACCAACACAGAATCTCTGCAGGACTCCTAAGAATCTGAGACCAAAGGGACAGTCATAATATCTATCCAGAGAATAAATTACCCTTTTCAGAGAACAGATGAGAAATCCTCAGGGGTGTGGAGATGTGACAAGTATCTGAACAACCTCAGAAAGTGCTCCATGACAGAACAAGAGTAGTTTTATATACCTTGCAAACCCAATGTACACCAATGCAAAACCAGTAGAAAACAGATGCTTTCCTGCTCCGTTTACATCTCTTCCCTCCATGTAACTCTGACTCTGGAGTGCCAGAACTCTTGGTCATCAAGGTAGAGGAAGAGGAATAGAAGCACCATAGGAAAAAGAACAACCAATCATGCCCCACTTTTTTACTACAACTGGCTAATGTGTAGCAGGTCCATGGTGGGAAAGGGAAAGTTTTATGTATTTGGTTATTACACTGAGACACTGATTACTGAACTGAAGGACTTCTTACTTAAAAGTGACAAGAAAAGTCATAGAACCTGTTCTAAATTTGTTCTAGGTCCTAGATTCTAGCAGAAAGGGAAGAACTACTTTTGCAGCACTAGTTTAAAGGGATTCTGAAACAAATGCCTTATGTTTACAGCTCATAAATCGTGTTTTTCCTGTGTAATGCCCATATTACTCAGAGGTTGGCTCAGAGGCACCAGTCCTGACTGAGACTTGAGGAACGTTACTGAATTATTTATAAGCCAGTCAAACAGTTGTTATTTTTCATAATAAAAGCAAGTGGTGGTTTTTCCTGACAACTCATTTAGTGTTCAATGAATAAAAATTAACTACTGCCTACATAGATTTAGGCTGAATTCAAATTTAACATGAATATTGTTGACAGTATCAATTTCAGGCAAAAAATATATACTATTATGTTTTCAAAATAGGAAGTTTAAAAAGTGTGTATGTGTATAAATATACCCTCTCGCACTTTAGGCATGGGAAAGATTGCAACTACCGTGCCCCTATTCACTGGGAAGATAGACTTGAATAACAATTCCTTGAAGACAAAGGCTCAGGTCCCGATGGTGCTTACTAGCTGGTCCCAAGTGGCTGCTGGATGTGACTTGGCAAGGAAGACAGCAAAAACAACTGCATTGTGTACAGTAAACGTGCTGTGCAGGAAGATCTACATTATACCTCATATTCCTACCGTATTTGCTCGTACACAAAACCTCCAAAAGTTTTCAGAGAAAGGCGCGCATAACTTATAAATTCTATTATGTGCACTACTCAACTGTCAAGAATTTCAACACTATTGGATTTGAATTCATTATAAAATTTGTATTAAACAATGTGGCTATGTGTAGATACTGTGTTAATGTCTAAACATTGAGATCTAGGCAGTAACACGTGATGCTGAAATGGGTCAATTATTTCGCTTTTTGGAATTTTTCTGACCAATTGCATTCCAGTTATGAAAAAAAAAATTCAGGAAACATCATATGAGATTTTCTAATTATTTAGTAAAAATAAAAGTTAATGACCAAAACCAACCAACCAAACAAAAACCCAAAAAACTACCAGGCCCCATGGAGCAAAGTCACATCTCTTAAGAATACTCTTTTGAAGTGGTCCCTCTCAAGTGTAGTTTCTATTTTTCCTTTTGGTTTAATTGATCTGATCAGTAGTAGTAAGTAAACTGCTGTCAATATCCTTCATTTTTTTTTTTTTTCCCTTTTTGTCTTTTTTCGTGTCCGGCAATGGATCTCAACCCTCAGTGTTGCGCCTGTACTGGACCGGGACCGGCAACGGGATGGCAACCCTCGGTGTTGCGCCCACACCTCGCTCAGCCAGTGAGCGGGAACCGATCTGTATGTGGGATCCAAACCCTCGGTGGGAGCGCCGCCGCGCTCTCAAGCGGCGCACTGTAGCAGTGCGCCACCGGGTCGGCCCCAATATCCTTCATTTATAGTGTTGTTTGTAATCACTTTATCCTTGCAATGTCTTTAATGCCGTTTTTTCCAGTACCTCTTTTTCACATTCCCATTTATTTTGTATAGCATACTAAAATTTTAGCAAATGTTATTACAGACATGGTTTAGCTTTCATTAAAAAAAATCTTTGTTGGGCCGGCCTGTGGCTCACTCGGGAGAGTGTGGTGCTGATAACACCAAGGCCACGGGTTCAGATCCCATATAGGGATGGCCGGTTGCTCACTGGGTGAGCATGGTGCTGACAACACCAAGTCAAGGGTTAAGATCCCCTTACCGGTCATCTTTAAAAAAAAAAAAAAAAATAAATAAATCTTTGTTAAAGACCCTAAATATTAACTGCCATTAATGAGAGATGCTACTTTTCAATTCCAGGCAGCAAGTTTAATGCAGAACCCTCAAGTTCAACAGTTGTAAGTATACAGAAGGAGCTTATTACATTTTCTCCCTTCCACTTGCCAGGCTCCTAATTTGAGCACATCATCTCAAAAATGATAAAACTGCCCTGAATGCCAGTCAGTTGGAACTTAAAGCCATGCATATTTGGCCTAACCTTTTACATAATGTGGGTATATTTAACTGACTTTTCCTTAGCCAGTTATCCTTGTTAGGAATATATGCCAACCCCAGTGTTAAATCTCTTGCATAATCTAGAATGTCAGGAATGATGACCAATGCCATTGGGGGACCTGCTGCTGGAGTTGGGGGCCTAACTGACCTGTCCAGCCTCATCCAAGCGTAAGTGTTATTTAAAACAGAAATAGTAAAAATGTATTTTATGTTTTACAGTTTGTCCCTGAGATAGGGAACCTGGGCTTTCTTTTTCAATTTTTATCTTTTACTGTTAGTATCGTTGGCCTCCTTAAAGTTATTAAATCTGAAAGAAGTTCATAAATTAGAATCGCCTTTCAGACTGAAGGGCAGGAACCCAGTAGACCTGGGTCATCTCTCTAGCTCTGTATCTTGAGAAAACCAATCATGTGTATTCAATATGCTTTTTTTTAAAAAGGAATCTTCAAGTAACAGCAGAGTTTTGGTTTTCTTTTTCTTTTTTTTTTGGTACCACCTTAATAAGGCAGGTGATTGACAGATATTAGTGGAAAAAGAGTAGGTAACTTACATCCCTATTCAATAGATAGAGAAACCGATGTGACTTATTAAGGGTGTCAAAGCATCCATGGCAGAGCTAGGTCCACATTTAGTCTTTTGCTCTGCAGCCTGATTCTTCATTACTTGATTGTTTGTCAGTATGAAATTAGGGTCCTCAGTTTAAGTGGGGATATCAATACTCTCATCTTTATTTACAGACTTACATCCCTATTCAATAGATAGAGAAACCGATGTGACTTATTAAGGGTGTCAAAGCATCCATGGCAGAGCTGGGTCCACATTTAGTCTTTTGCTCTGCAGCCTGATTCTTCATTACTTGATTGTTTGTCAGTATGAAATTAGGGTCCTCAGTTTAAGTGGGGATATCAATACTCTCATCTTTATTTACAGAGGGCCCTAAGGATTGGTAACCTGGTATTTTTGAGGTCACAGAAACAGTAAACATCTTATGTTCAAATATATTGTGATCTCATATATAAAGCAATTAACTCTCTATTTTCCTTCCCATTGAAGATCTAAGAAAAAGTTTTTTGGCAGACTCAGGGATGTAGAAGTAAATAAAATATCTTCTTAAAATAGGTATTAATTTAGGTACAAATATATATTTTAAAATCACATGTTACATATATTTATGTTCAGACAATTTAGGAAACTTTTGAAAAAACTTCTTCAGTGCCATCACTTAGAAGAACTCAACTGCATCTTCTCATTACTTGAGCATATTACCTTCACTTCCATCCAAATTGCTTAAGAGACTTTGCTTTTTGAATCTAGGTCTGATGCTGTCACTGGAAATTTGCTGTTTGTGATCACCGTGTAACCTCTTAGAATATTTTTAGACTGATAGTTAAGTGGCACGATTATAGTGATGTCTAACACTTGCACTTGAGGGTCCTACATTCAGGAATTTGTGTTAAACTTTTTTGTACTTTTGAAAATCAGTTGTTAAGTGACCGATATAATCATCCCGAACTGGGTGTTACACCCTATCACATGAAAGATTAAGACGATATACAAGCATCATATTTGAGCACATATAAGCATTTACTTCTTAGCCCTTTGCTTATTTGTGATTAAGTACCAGAGGGGTAGATTTCACTCAACTCAGGCACACATCTTTTAGCTTGGGTGTTTTTTTCATATAAAGAATATTGCACTATAATAATGGTATACGGAGGCATTGGTAAACTTGAACATACTATAGCCATGGTTCCAAAACCTGTTTTTATAGAAAAAGTTCCCTGTGGGTAGTCCCCACATCTTCTGAAGTTCTTTCTGCATGGGTATTGTACGACTGGCAATTCCCTAATTCACATTTCTTTGACTCTTTACTACAGGGGACAGCAGTTTGCTCAGCAGATACAACAACAAAATCCTGAACTTATAGAGCAACTACGAAATCACATCCGGAGCAGATCTTTCAGCAGCAGCACTGAAGAACATTCCTGATTTGCAAATGGTTTACAGCTCTGAAGTATTCACTGTAGATAGTGGCCAAACAAAACAAAACAAAACAAAACACCACACCTGATATTTGAAAATAATGGAGAAAAGCCTCTTGTGTATATTCTTAAAGAATAAATCTGTTTAGATAATAGGTTTATCACAAACAGACTTGAACATAACATGACTCCTTTGGAAATGAATAATCAGTTGCCTTGTTAGGTGCCAATACAGTACTTGGACAAGGTGCCATTTCCAAACTTTTATCGTCATAACTGTATATTAGACTTAATAGCAGAGTATATTTATTGAACAGTGGAGCTGTTTATTGGTGAGTCCTTTAGCTCCAAATTCCCTTAAGCAAATTTTTTTGAGAGGAGAGATAACCAAGAAGAAAGGTTTCCCATGCTGGTTTAGAAGAAATATACTTGCCACCGAGCAGCATGTCATGAGAGAAGAAATTTGTTATCTAGGTTTAGCTTTGAAAACTGCTATCAGTAATGAATATTATAACATAGGTACCGATACTGTCTTTAATGCTGCTTGTCTGATGAGTGACAGGGATTCTGAAGAGCTGGTGGAAAGCAGCATTTGGAGCAAGGGATGTTTTGAAAAGAAAAAAATGGATAATGTGTGAATGTATAGAAAGCGAAGGTAGGATGCTCAGGTTTTCTGCATAGTTCTTAACTAATCTTGTCTGTGGTTTGGTATTGATAACATTAGCATGGCCAATTATGCTAAGTACATAATAAAATACTTTAAAAAATCCTTAATGACACTGGTTAGGTCAGTGATATAACTGTTTGACTTAATTATCACAATTTCCCTGTTGGTAATCTTACCTTGGAAACTATAACATATACCTATATTTAAGTAAGCCAATGGCTTGGCCCTAAGTTAAGGATTTTCTAAGTGGCATTTAGTTATGTACCCATAAACATTGATTTAAAAAAAAAAATTCAGTAATTATTTGATGGATAACAAAAAGCATCTATCACCAACATTGCTTGTTTATGTAATGCTCTGCTATAATTTGGCTTGCCATGCCAATCTTATGCTTAACTTTAATTTGATGCAATTTAAATATAGCAGGACGCAAAATATTTTATTATGAAATAAATGCCATATTAGTTAGTGGAGAGAAGTGGCATTAGCTATTAATGGTATGGCTCTAACTACAGTGATGGATGAGACAGTTCTAATTCCAAGTGTAATTTTTTTTTTTGTTTATTAATCATGAAATTGGTGAAGTGGGGCTGACATGTAATGTTTTCACAAGTGATGTGAGGGAAAACTGAAAAAGAAAGTAATATAAAGTTAAATCGGTAATAATGGTGATGATGAGGGATGTACTATAACTATTCTCAAGACTATTTGGTATCATGAAGTTTAAAAACTAACTTTTTCTTTCTTTCTCTTTGTGACATTAGGACAAGGGTTCTATAATTTCACTGTAAGAATCACCTGGGGAATTCATTAAAAGTGCAGATTCAGGATGGCCAGTTAGCTCACTTGGGAAAGTGTGGTCCTGGTAACACCAAAGTCAAGAGTTCAGATCCCTGCACAGGGCCAGCCACCATAAAAACTCCCAAACAAACAAATGCACATTCAGGGCCATGCCTTCAATTTTGATTTAGTAGGTCCTATAATAAAGCCTATGAATTGCCATTTTAAGCAGTATACAAGGTAGTTCTGATGTAGGTCCAAGGATTCTAATTTACAGCAACACTAGGTTATAGGTTTCTCCTCAATTAGACCAGCAAATACCTAAGCATCTGGGCTCAGGCTAAAATAAAGGCCTATATGAACCTAGACCTCTGGTCAGAGAAGAACAGGACTTATATCTTCATCCTCTGAAATTAAATCTGCTATATTCCATCTAAACTAACTTAATTTTTCATGAAGTTAGACAAGTGTTATACAGAATGAAGTACTGCTACCAATCATATAAAATTTATGACTGTGATTTAAAGAAAAAGCAAACAATCCTTAATTAAAAATTAGTTACGCTTATTCAGTGTTAAATAAGTTAAAATTTCTAGCAAAACTATCTTAATATATTGAAAATGCTTTCAGATCAATAAAATTGAAAATCCTCTAGCTGACAGACTAGGAAAATAGAGAGAAAATACAAATTAACAGTATCAGAAATGAAAGAGGGGATACTATACAGAACCTGTAGACATTAAAAGAGTAATTTGAAAACACTACGACCAACTGTAGGTGTATATATTTAACAACTCAGATAAAACAGACAAATTCCTTATAAAATACAAACCACCAAAGCTCACTGAAGAAATAGATAACCAGAATAGACGTGTATTTATCGAGGAAATTGAATTTGTAGCTAAAAACCTTCTAGAAAAGAAAAAAATTACAGGCCCAGATGACTTCAATGGTGAATTCTACTAAACACTTAAGGGAGAAATAATATCAGTCTACACAGTCTCTTCCAGAAAATAGAAGAGGAAAACACTTCCCAACTCATTTTATTTGGCCAGTATTACCCTGATAAAATCACACAGACATCATTAAGAAAAACACTTTAAAGCAATGTCTTCATGTGCTAATATCTGTAATTAGCCATTTTTTTTTTACACGAAATAATGGGAATTGGTCTATTTCTTCCATTTCATTTTTTAGTTTGTTTCACTGCTAATATACCACCAATAACAAATTCAATCTAGAAGACTTCTGTCCACTTACCTGGATTTCCATTCTATTCAAGCTGTTCTTGCTCTTCAGGTACCTTGATCACTTTGGAATCATTACATTGAAAGCTATTTCAAGAAAGTTTTTTGTATGGTCGGATTTTGCTAGCTACTCTTAAAATTATAAGGAATGCCCCATATATTTTCTTGCTTGTCTGGAAAATACAGACACTATCTATCTAGAGAAACAAGAGGTCATTAAATAGTAAATCTTTATATACATTCTACTTAGGAATGCTTGACTTCCATTAACTACATTTCATTGTGTAGCTGTAGTTGGTACAATGCTACGTAAAACTGAACATGTCTTTTTTATGCAGATGACATTTTCATTTACTGTATCAAATTATCTAATTTTTATAATATAGTTTAAACAGATCCTTTCTAAGATGGCATTATCTAACTTTTACTTCAAAGTATGAAGAATATGTGTTTAGGTTATTTCTATAAACAGAAGAGACTTTGTAATTAAATCAAAGTATATATCAAATTCCAAGTGACCATTATACATTACTTATTAAATTATGGCATTATCTAACTTTTACTTCAAAGTATGAAGAATATGTGTTTAGGTTATTTCTATAAAAAGAAGAGACTTTGTAATTAAATCAAAGTATATATCAAATTCCAAGTGACCATTATACATTACTTATTAAATGTGAGGTCTGGCTGGTTAGTTCAGCTCAGTTGGTTAGAGCACAGTGTGATAACACCAAGGTTAAGGTTTCAGATCCCCATACCTGCCAGCCACCAAAAAGAAAAAAAAAAAACCCAGAGTGAAACAGAAAGTTCACTCATGAGAAGATGCTTGAAAAATAAAGTGCCCAGTGCAGTGGCTATAAAGTCTTATTTCATTATTTAATTCAATCTTAATCATTTTGGAAGACAGACAGACTTCAGTTTTACACTGCCTGCACTTTTTTTTGCAGACATTTCATTAGTCATTATTACTCCATTTTAAGGTGCAAACCTTCTGAGTACAGCTTTCATTTTGGACCAAACAATTTGTCATGGCAATAAATAACTGTGCATCTAAGAAAAACCCATTTTTGTAGTCGACTTTATGCACTCTTACATTTAAGTAATTATACATTTAAGTAATTAATACATTCTTGAATTTCAACTTACCAAAATCGGATAGTTTTATTTAAATAGCATCAGCTTTTGTTTTCCTGACAAAATACTGAAATTTTGTTACATTCCTGTTGCAAAGTTATTTACAACTTTAACTTTCTCATTATTTCATTTATGGCATAAGTAAGTGTGATTCCATGGAGAGAGAGAAAATTTTATAATATTAAGATATGATTTAGAGTTCAAAATCAAATATCAGAAGCTGGGAATCCTCTAAATATGCCTTATGAAAATCAGTGGCTTGTTTTTCAGTGGGCAAAAACCAAGGTGTTTTGGCTTAGAATTAGAAAATTATTAGGCTTCTGAGTTAGAAGTTAACTAAGTAATCAGTAACCTAATAAAACCAATTCTGATCTGGCATTCGGTATGTAAAAGTCAGACATGTGTTTATATGTATGCACAGACATGAACCGATACAATAATTTTGAAAACAACTAGAAAAGCAAATATCTAGAAAAGCAAATATCTGTGTTAGCAAATATCAAGTTATAGGACGACTACCCTGAGTTGTTTTAAGCAAACTTTTTCTATTGATTGAGGAGCTAGGACAAAAATTGGAGTGACTGAAATATATCTAAACAAGTATTATGAGTATTCTTAAGTTCTAAGAAACAAGTGTATCTTCTACATTGAGGTGAGCAAACTATGGCCCACAGGCCATATCTGGCCAGTTGCCTGTTTTTGTAGACACCACTGCACTTTTTTTGCCTATTAGCTGCTCTCACATTACAATGGCAAAGTTCAGTATTTTTGACAGAAACCATATGACCTGCAAAGCCTAGAATATTTAGTATCTTGCCCTTCATATAAAAAGTATGCTACCCCCTGTTCTAGATACTTGCTAGGGACAAATGGCCTCAAATATAGAACTTTTGGAGAACAAAGTCCAATGGTCATCTAAAGTGAAATAATATGTGTAGAAAATATACAAATGTTCATTTAGAATATAAGTCACAAGATAAAATCAGTAGTTCTTTTCAAAACAAATATTTAATATTTTAACTATTTTATAGGAAAGAAAAATTATATGTATCTTTGCTGTTGACTTGATCATTTTACAAAGGTAACAGAAGTACAGAAAGCAGTTTTATGAAAGTAAAGGAAAAGCATAACACTGGAAATTTTCTTCAGCTTTCCACTTTAATGGCCGAAGATACCACACAGACTTGTGCGATGTCATCATATTCATATGTTCTCTTTAAGAATGTGTCTGTTAGTCTTAAGCCGGAGACGCTCTATTGAGAGAAAAATATGAACCTGAGTTTTTATTCATTGGTCATTACCAGAGAAAATATGGATACAATAAACGACTATAAGTTAACAGCTCCCAAATACTAAAATGACTGAAAATAGAGCATACTTGCAGTCCTTGTACTGAAGACAGTAGAGTAAGGGCAAGGCAGAGAGAAGAACTTGGATGCAGCTTTCCAAGCTGTCTGCCTGAAATACCACACCAGTGGATAGAATTGGTATTGCACATTTCCAAAACCAGATCCATAGTCCTTTCACTGCTGGAGGAATCAGAAAAACAGGAATAAATCTTGCTCATTTCACAAATAATTGCCATATTTCTTCCACTATGGTAGTAAATTTGTTTTCTGAGTGTCCAGGAGAATAAAAACCAGAAGGAGAATTGAAAAGCTATTATATCATTTCTATTTCATTTAAGATAGAATCAGGAAAATGAAAGGAGATGACAAAATCCTCTAGGGCTTAAAATGGCTTCAACTAACCCATCTGCCTGGATGTTGGCCTTCTGGTTCTATTATTGAACACTGGTTCACTGGTGCTAATCTGATAACAGCTTTGCCACTTTTATTTCCAGACATTTGTGTCTAATCTAATTGCTATGTATTCTTAATATTTCTGTTAGGTACTCTATAGGAAAGAAAAAGATAGACTAGTGCTTTTGATATTTAATCTATGTTCCTTTACCATCAGATTACTTAGAAAATGAGTGACAAGATGCATAAGAGGTAAATTCTGTTCAGGTTTGTTCAGTGTATTACTTACTATAAAAAGACTGCTTCTGTTTATAACAGATTATCACCAGTCTAGTTTAAACTTACGTTAAAAAAATTTTTTTAATGGGCTGCTTGGTTGGCTCAGTTGTTAGAGCATGGTGTGGATAAAACCAAGGTCAAGGGGTTGGATCCTCCGAAAAAGACTGCTTCTGTTTATAACAGATTATCACCAGTCTAGTTTAAACTTACGTTAAAAAATTTTTTTTAATGGGCTGCTTGGTTGGCTCAGTTGTTAGAGCATGGTGTGGATAAAACCAAGGTCAAGGGGTTGGATCCTCCACACCCAACAGCTGCCAAAAAACACAAACAAAAACCAAAAACAAACAAAATCCAAAAAACTTTTAAGGAAGTGTGCACATTTTTTTTTTTAAATAACCAAAAGAACGCTTTAGCTTTTTTCCTCATAGTTGGCTCCAGATTTTGGAATATTTATTTCAATTTTAATTTATTGATTTTTAAGACATAGTGAATTTATGATATTAGTTTTTATACATCTCTAATTTGAAATGTCCACTATGTGCCAGAGACCAGGTTAGATACACTACATGAATTATCTCATTAGATTCCAAAATCCAGTAAGATTTTGTATACCTTGTGCATATGTGTCTGTGTGTGTCGGGAGCTGGAGGGTGGGCAGGGATCACATTTTTATAGATGAGGAAAGTAAAGATCTAAGAAATAAATGCTTTTCAGAAAACTTATTTGAATCACCAAAAGTTAAAGTGAACACCAAAAGAAATTAATTTTTTTAAAAAAGTTCCTTGTCAGTTGGTCAATAAACTGATAAGCTGTTCCTGAAAAACAAAAAAAAGTCCCCTACACACCCTATATGCACAAGGTCTTTTGCTGTGTGTGTGTTGTTTACTCAGCTCTTATGAGGTGGCAGACACTGCAGTTACAAAGCTGGATAAGACATGTCCCTTCTCTTGAATAATGCACAATCCAGTGAGGAAGGGACTAATAGTTGGAATGGGTATGGAATTAAAAGGATTATACATTCACACTACGAGGGATGGAATTTATCACTATAATATTATCAGAATAATCAATTAATAATACATACCAAGTAGTAATACAAGTAATAGCAAAAGTGATGGGACTGGGATTTAATTTTAGGTTTTTCTGACTTCAAAGCTCTTTGCTTCCCAATAGCTAAATTATGCTCTCTCTTGACTATCAAAACCCTATTTTCCAATATGATTATCCCTTATATTAAATTAATATCCAATTTTTAGTTTCTTAGTACTAAAGATACAGTTCAAGTACAAGTATGCCTCAGAAAAATCTACTTACTATTTTAAATCTATAATGTACTTTTCCATGAGAACCTATTAGTTTATGATTAGTCATATGAAGTGTGAAGGAAGTGTAAACAATGAAAAGAACATCGACTTTGAAGTCAAATGTTTCAAATTCTGGCTCCATTTTTTCTAGTTGAGCTTGTACAGTCACTTAACCTCCTTCAGTTAGCTTTCTCTTGCATAGAATGTGAATAATTAATACCTACCCCAAAGGGTATGATGCTTGAATGAAATACAGAAAGTGCCTAATACAGCAGGACCTCAAAAATATGTAATATACTGCTGCAAAATGAAGAATTTTACTGTATCAACATCAGAGATGTCAAGAGGAAATGAAAGGAGAAAGTATTTTTAAAAGATTTAAAAATTCTCTTTTAAGTAGGTGAGAGGGAAAGAACATCCATCTACAAACACTGGCATTACCTGCAGTTTGTTATTTTACAGGTAATATGAAAGGGTTCTTCTAGGTTTACGGTATCTGGGATTGCCTCCAAAGACAACCTAACATCTCCGTAACCTGGAGCCTAAGAGAACAAGCAACACAGTTAATATATATTATAAAGCTTTTCAATTTTAATGAAGGTGCCACACTAGTACATTCACTCAACAGTTGTTGGGTCTCCAAACTGATGTTCTAAGAAAATCCTTTTGATTCATTCCATTGTTCCCTCATTCTAACCTTTTTTGTTGCTACTTCCTGTGGAACAGCTCCACAGACCTTGACTGTTATTGTAATAACTACTTCTTCAGTAGAGTTAAGATGAATCTCATAGGTAAGTAATCAATAAGAAATTTCAGGGGTTCTGATGTTGAATGATGTTTTCTAGAGATACTATAGCTTCTACATATATAACTCTAAACAGGCAAGGTTACTGCCTAAGGAGACAGAGGGAGATCACTTTGAAATGGGCCAGGAAGAAAATAATGTCTTTTCATAAGACACATGGGTAAGGACATAAAGGTTTGGAACGTGCCATGGCAAAATGATAACTAATTGCTATATTTTAAAGTAGTCCCAGTGATCATCATCTTTTTTTTTTTTTTTTAATTATTGCCTCAAACAGTGGGAAAAAAAAAAAAAAAGTACACTTAGAATATGTCAGAACAGGGCCGAGCCCGTGGCGCACTCGGGAGAGTGCAGCGTTCCCGCCGCGGGTTCGGATCCTATATAGGGATGGCCGGTGCACTCACTGCGCTCACTGGCTGAGTGCGGTGCGGCCAGTCTCAAAAAGGACAAAAAAAAAAAAAATGTCAGAACAGGTAATATTCAGCATACAGGGAGGATTCTGTAGCATATTTTCATAATTACAAGAAAAAGAAAACTGGTGGCAATCTTTACTCTCAGAGAAGAAATTAACAAATATCCAGCCAGTTCTCACAAGATAACTTTAATGGGACTCACCTCCTGAGATTCAGATGTCTCAGATTTTTAACATCTTAAAGTATGAACTGAGTAGGTGGAAGTAGAAAGTACAAGAGTTTCAGGACATTGCAAAAAAACCCCTTAATGTATTGAAGTCAGATGAAATGTGTGTATGAATTACCACAGGAGGGAACAAATGATAAGCAGTTATTTTAATTTCTGTTTGGTAAAGTAAAAAAAAAAAATGAAGATGCACTAACATATGGACATTTTTCATTCATCTCAATATGTTTTCTGCCTACAGGCCAATGAAACTGTAAGTCTTTTCTTCTCTATTAATATTAATGTCTTTTATAAAAGTGTTCCAATTTTTAGTGATAGACCTAGGAAAACTTAAGCTATTCTAACTGCTTGCCTCCACACATCAAAACCCCAAAAGAAGTTTTTCCCAGACTTACCATTCTTTGAAGTTGGCTGGTCTGTAACCTTCCCCTTTCACCTAGATTTGTTTTCCATACTATATCCAATTTTCCAATTACTGTTACTCCCTTAATTATGCCTGCTTTTTCTGCAAATTCCTTCTTGGGCTTTAGGCAGTACAAGTATTGACGTGTATCCATTGGCTGCAAATATGCTCTTGACCCAAACGTAGATACACTGAGAGGGATGAAGACAAACAGATATGCTAAAATTCTCTAGCATCTTTTAAAAGAAAAACTGTGGATGTGACTGTTCCTTTTGACAGGAACTGGAAGATTTACCCTCCAAAGATCTAGAATAGAACAGGTCTGTGGTTTCAACACAAATGAAAAGGATTTGTACTGAAAGGATTTCCTTTTCTTTAATTTTTTCCAATTGACATGGAAAATCATGAGGTTCATTATAATAGAATGCACTATATTACCTAAAATACTGGACATGTACCAATTAACTGAAAAGTGCAATAGAAATCAGAACCTTAAGTATACTGTCCCTTTTCTCTAAAATTATGAAAGAAAATAGTTTAGAATTAGAAGGGATGCATTATTCGAAACTAAGTAATCTTTTTTTTTTTCCTTTTTGTCTTTTTTACTGACCAGTAACGGGATCGCAACCCTCGGTGTTGCGCCCGCACCGCGCTCAGTCAGTGAGTGGGAACCAGTCTCCACATGGGATCCAAACCCTTCGCGGGAGCACCGCCACGCTCCCAAGCGGTGCACTCTCCAGTGCGCCACTGGGCCGGCCCCGAGTAATCATTTTTTTTTTTTTAAAAGATGACCAGTAAGGGGATCTCAACCCTTGGCTTGGTGTTGTCAGCACCACGCTCAGCCAGTGAGCAAACCGGCCATCCCTATATAGGATCCGAACCCGTGGCCTTGGTGTTATCAGCACCGCACTCTACCGAGTGAGCCACGGGCCGGCCCTCTGAGTAATCATTTTTAACTGAAGTAAATGGTCTAGAAAAGAATGGAAAATTATTGTTTTCCTCAGTGGGAGTAAAGGAGGCTATAAACTTTTCTGTATGTAACCACCATGATAATATAAAAATAAACTTCTTATTCTTGACTAAGAAAATCAGGTACTTTCCCTAGCTTTTACCTTCTTATCTATATGAATGTCAACACTATGTTTGTTTATTCCTCCTCTTAAATTAGCTATAGAAAGACATATTTCCTGTTCACAAAAAATTAAATAATCTATTCCTATGTCCACTTCTTCTGATGTTGAGAGAATATTTCTTTTCCAAACTCATGCTCATCCTTGCACTTTCTAACTTCCCCACTATTCTCTCCCATCACTCAGTTTGATCATTTGCAGGATAACAATGATAGGTTTTATATCTATCTCACTGAATTATTATGAGAGTCAAAAGAACAAATGCTTTGAATAGTAAAACATAAAATGCAAAGGGCTAAGCCCTTTATTTTCACATTGGTGGGAAAGAAGAAAGGGTGAAGTACAAGAGATTTTTAGGAAAGTAAACTATTTGTATATTATGGCAATGATAGATATATTTCATTATATATTTGTCTAAACCCATAGAATTTAGAACACAAATTGTGAAGCCTAATGTAAACTATGGACTTTAGTTAATAATAAGTATAGATACTGGTTCATTAGTTGTAACAAATACATTAACACAAGATAGAAATAGGAGAAACTATGAGGGGGGTAGGAGCGTATGTGGGAATTCTGTACTTTCCAATCAATTTTCCCGTCAACCTAAACTTCTCTAAAAAAAAGCCTATTTAAAATATATATAAACCACTTAGGAGTAATGGATGTTAAAAAAAACCATGTATCTTTCAAAACAAAACAAACACTTCATAATTAATATTTACCATTCTCCAGCTTTGCCGACAGAATTTAATTCTGTTACATTGTACATTATAGATGGCTCCAATGAAACTTTCTCCATAAACATGGGTGAGGTTGTAATATTCTGAATTTGGGCTTCGAGAAATACTTCATCAGTCTGAGGATATGAAAAAAATATCCACCAAAGTGTGATGGTATTTAAAATATTTACCTCAATAAAAAAACTTATCTACATGAAGAAAAAATATTAACTGCAAATGTGATTAGTTCATGCCTGCAAATCAAAGTTATCGTAATTAATGCAAGAAAAGAAATCTTCACCCTAACATAATTAACAGGGGCAAAGTCAAGTGTTAGTCAACCAATACTTTGTCAAACAATGGATGGGGGATAACTATAACATATTTTGAATTAACATCCAAAATATTTACGTAACTGGAATTTCATTCACAGATATACTAAATCTTTTAGGAAGGCATTAGAATGTTAAAATGTCCTTAAGTATGAATATACCTATGCACCTATGATTTCAGTGTTATGTGGAGATAAATTAGATCTTCATTATAGTATTCCAGCATAATACAACTGAGTTGTCATCACATTACTTTGAGATAGTCTAGTGACCAAGTAGTGTATGAATAATCTATTTTATAATCTTACAGGATTTTGTGAGTGGTCACTAGTGATTTCTTGGTTCATTTTAAATGTATATTTAGGGCTAAAAAAAGAATATGTGAATTATACCTGACAATCTTAGAGCTTTTAAAATCAAGCAAAAAAGTATTTTGTAGCCTTAGTGACAGATTTGAAAACTGATGCTATTCAGCAATATTTCAGTCACTCAGTAATCTGAATGCTTAATTTTATATAAATTTTTAATTCCCTGATTATGCTAAACATTATTTTTATGCTATTTGGTTATTATTTTTATGCTATTTGGTTTTTATTTTTTATGCTATTTGGTTGTTATTTTTCTTTGTGTAATTGAAAGATAACAGACTAACTTGATTTAACTTTGAAACATACCTACACAAAAAATAATATACTAAGGATATTCAATAATTATTTTTTCAAAAGTTTCATAGTAATATATATACAGAAATAACATAAATATACATAAAATAAATGGTGACAAAAAAATTGGCACTTATGAGCTTCTTTAACACTAAAGATTGGAAAATGGAAATCATTTACAAAAATATGAGGAAGTTATAATCTAATATATTATTATCTCATAAAACAGATTCTTTAGTCTTTGGGACATGTGCTCAAATGAAAATAGAAATACAGATTTATCAGTTCAAGAAAATGTACGATTTAAGAGCATTATTCCGTTACTTTTTCTCAAAAAAGTAAATATATCCCATCAATCCATTGCTTAAAAAAAATAACCATAGATCCACATTTCAATTTAAAAAATGCAATTTTATGCATAAATTTAGGAAGAGTTTAAATAAATGAAAGAAAAAGAAGCAGCATAATGGAAAATCAAGTTAGTTTGAATAGTTAGTAAAGTAATTTGACATTTGAAAAATTAAGAATTCAGTACTAAGGCAGTTAATGCTGTTATTACATATGTAATGTGATATAAGCAAATACAGTTGTAAACAGAGATTTGAAATATGATTTTTGCCAACTTGGGAAAATTTGCTTTTCTTCTGTTTACTTTTGTCCAAAGGCCATTGTTAACCTGACTCAGACTTAAAACTAACACTACCGTGCATTTGAAAATGAATTTCAACTAGTCTATTAAAAGAATTGAAGGATAGTAGGGTATTTTACAATAAGATATTGAAAATCCCAAGGCTATTTTAAACAAGGTTAACATGCCCCTTTTAAAAAACACCTAAAAAACCCCCCACTAAATATGAGAATATAATTGTTTCAGTATGAAATTTGACTTTTGATCTAATTTTTTCTCATAGAATAGGACAATTGATATAACATAAAAAGTACATACAAATTATATATGTCTTTCTGAAGTCACATAGATGGTATTCACAACTAACTGTTTTTCCACTATGTTTTGTAAAGATATTAATTAGGCAGAGTCAAAAAGTGGTAAGAAAAGCATATAAATTTATAATAAAAAATCAAATTACCACAGAACTGAGGTCACTCTAATGGAAAAATAAAAAAGAGAAATTAGAAAAATCAGAGTTAAATGTTAAAGAAAAAGAAACTTTAAAATAAAGTGCATTTCTGCATTTTTTAAATCCACTAAACAAGACAGCATTAGTAATCAAGGAAGTAAACAGAAAGCAACATAAAGAATTATGACAAACCATTTTTCTAAAAAGGTGAAACTGCTAAGGTTAAATAACAATGGAATAGAGAACACTATGGCTGAATACTTACATAGTAGCAAGTAGTTAAGGCCACATTTTGAGGCAGAGAGGTATATGCCATGCCTTTCTAGTTCTGTAAGTTCTTTTACCTACATTGTAATTCTTCATAGATTACTTAAGATGGACATACACTATCCTCTACATTCAGAATATACACTGTATAGCTTCTTATAAATTTATCTAATAATGCAATCCTTTTTTAAATGAGCATCTTGGGTGATTAGAGTTCCACGGATCACACTGCAAGGAATGCTGGGTTAGGCCACTTCAGACAATTGGGAATTTATTCTCTTCTTGTTAATAGATTTCATAGTTTCTTCTTTTTCATATATGAGAGGTCTTTGAAAAGTTCTTGGAAAGATTAGTATTATTTTTAATTCATTTTCTACTAACATTTTGAAGTACCTTCGTATATTTCTTAAGCTACTTATTTATCAAGGGCAATCTCAAGTGTCACCTCCTTCATCATATGCATAGCTGGAAATAATTTTCATCTTTCTATGCTCCCAGAATATAAGTACACTCCATGATTTGGGGGGTGTGGGGAGGAGGGACTTATATTGTACTTATGTCATGTCAGTCTCCTCCACTAGATTTAAGTTCCTGGAGTACTGAGATGATGTTTGGTTTATATTTTTTCCTCTTCAGTACCTGGCTTGTGACTCAGTACTGAGCAGGTGACCATATGTTTGAATCATAGCTTCTAATCTCATCAATCTTCTTGCAAGGCATTCTTATCTTAGAAGACTACCACAAAGTTTTTCATGCAACTTGTTTTCCTTTAGGTGACTAGAAACAGCACCGAAAACATACTTGAGACAGATATGGGGCTAATAACAGTCATTGTACAAGGACTGTAGCAGAGTGATAAGCATCACCTAGTGATACTGGTGTGGTTTACTAACTCCTACAATATACCTGGAATTCCTAGTTGGGGTCAACAGAATCTGCCTCATGTTACTGCTGAAAAGTATTTGTTTGCGTAACAGGTAATACTGAATTAAGAGAGACGCTAAATGATATTTTTCACTCTTGGTTTTTAAAGAGATTTCTATTTTCAAAAGTTCAGAATTTTACTAAAATTTTTCAAATTGATGCTTGTTCACAAAGTTTAAAGATTATGTCTACATATCATGTTAACTGAAAAAGGCAGCAAACAAAATTGTCACTATGATTATAAAAAAAGAATATTACATAGAAATGAATAAAGATAGCAAGAGAATATGGATAATGAAAAATCAATTGTGTGGTGAAATTGTGGATTTTTTTTTATGTCACTTCTATAATATTTATGGAATAACTAGCAATTTAAAAAAACTATTTGTGAATCACTCTGAATATCAGTGTTATAAAACTACTTGACAAGTAGTTTTTTACTTGACAAGTAGTAAATTAATGTACTACTACATTTTTAACAAGGAAAACCTAAAATAGCTTAATATGTGCCTCCTATGAGCTAATTATAGAAAAAAAAACTACAGTCCTTTTTTTTTTTTTACTTTACCTATATTTATTTATTTGTTTTTATTGTAACAAAGTTGACTGTATATATCTGTGGGGTACATATCTATTCTAACAGAATAGTTAACATTCTCCTCTCATACTATGAATGAAAACTGTTTCAGCAAAATGATAAATTAGATCTAAAATTCACCAAACTGAATAACGTAATTAATCAACAGTATGCTATTAATAACAATAAACGTAGAACAAATAGGTAGTATCCTAACATGCCTGTCTCCAAAAAAGAAACGTCAGCACTTTACACATCTAGTAATCTTGACGAGACTGTACCCTCCCATCAAATATGTATATGTTCTTCACTATGTCCTTAATATTCCAAGTACATTTATAATCCTGCTAGGAATGCCTTCACTGCTTGGATGCTTATCTGTTCCTTCCAGACTACACTCCAGTTTCTCTTTTCTCCCATAAAGCTTCTTTAGACTATTCCAAGATCTCATTCCCAGAGCTCCTGTAGCACATCTTTTTTTATCATTCTTGTTTTAGATTCACCATATACTATTCTAGGTAGTTTTGTTATTATATAATATTTTTGTTTCTTTTCTCCTAGTAGGTCTTTGCTGCAGGTCACGTTCCTTAACTTTGACCTCTTAATAATCCTAGTTGTAATACAATATACTGAGTAAAAATTCAGATTGCGATGGTACAAATATATATCAAATTTGAAATGTGAAAGCAAATTTCCTATTTTTTTCTTATCTTTCTTTGCATTCTCAGCCCATGCTGCTTTATTACTAAAAATATATATATATATACACCCAGGTGCAGAGTTTCCAACTGTTCCTTTTTACATTAAAGAATTTCTTCTTCAAAAACCCCAAAGATGCACAGGTTAAAATAAATGCAAATTTCTGATCATCTGGTTTTAGAGTAATAGAGATATAACTTCTACTTCAAAATACTGTATTTGGATATCTTTGTGGTATGAAACATGATTTTTCAGGGTAAGGAGACCATCAAGAGATCTAATTTTTCTGCAGCTCTACAAGCCAAGATAAAATAGAATTTTGGAAAAGAAATCCAAGCAATAAATCCTTTCTCCTATGGCAAATTCTATTATATCACTTTTGTTAGGATAGAAGGTAGATTATTTTCTATTCTAAAAGTTAGTTCTTTCTCTATTTTTGTCACACTTGTTTCTCCCAAGGAGCTTGTCAAGCCATTCACCAAAATCAGCAACCTAACTCTGTCTGGAACACTGACTTCCCAGGAAAGAATTTAATGTGCTGAGCTTTAATTGCCAATATTTTTCCATATGAATATTAAATGTATTTTGTAGGGTTAGATCTACTACTTCATTTTGTAATATCCAGAACCACACTAAATATTCAACAGAGTAGAGTGCTAATGTTTTTAAACAGTTACGACAACCATTAAATGGAACTATAGGGCAATCCTTTAATGAAAGGGGGAAAAGCCTCGCACAATTAACGGTGAAAATAAAAATCAAGACATACTGATTGCATTTAAGTTGAAAACAGAAGACTAAGACAGACCTACAATGAAATTATTGACTTTTAATTGAACTTTATGCTTATTTTCCACAAATAATTTGCAGTCATATAGGCAATTTACTTAAATATAAGAAATGTAATATCAGATTTTTAGTCAAAAAGACCTTAATGTTTAATGTGAAATCCCACTAAGTGCCCAATACTTACCTCTGCATTGTAAAATTTGGTTTTCACATCCAATGGTTTGAGAACCTGGTTAAACAAAGCATATCAATCAGTAGATTCTTATCATCTGACCATTTATTTTTGTTTATTTGCTTTAAATCATAGGGCTTAAATTTGTCAAAGCCAGTTTCCAATTTTAATTGTTAAAAGACTTTTCTAATATGTATGCAATACTCTTGCAAACAAAAACTTCAAACGCGTTTTTTAAAAGGCTATCATCATTTCTTGACTGAGTGATAGTTAAATGAGTGTTTACCTCATAACATTGTATTAAGCTGAACACATATTTTATGTATTTTTCTATATGTATATTTTACAAGAACTTCACAAAAAAGCAACTGAATCTTTTATTTTCTTTCTTTCTTTTTTTTTTCCTTTTTGTCTTTTTTTGTGACCGGTAACGGGATCGCAACCCTTGGTGTCACGCCCGTACCGCGACCGGCAACGGGACTGCAACCCTTGGTGTCACGCCCGCACTGCGCTCAACCAGTGAGCAGACTGGTCTCTATATGGGATCCGAACCCTTGGCGGGAGCGCCGCCACGCTCCCAAGCGCCGCACTCTACCGAGTGCGCCACCGGGCTGGCCCTTATTTTCTTTTAAAAGGCATGCAAATGAGTGATGCAGCAAAAGAGCAAAATGTTTTTCCACCTACAGAAGAATAAAAAATATACAAAGCATCATATCTAGGTTTATTTTTAAATAGATATATGTGGTATCCTCATCTCCCCCTCACCACAATAACATATGTTAAACCAATGGTTTTTAACTATTTTTGGTGAACTTTGAAGATTGTATGTTAATACAAAGTTCTACCTAAAATTCCATTGATTCATAGAGTCCTCAAAGGAAGTTTTGTCCACTCATCCCAAGTCAATAATCTCTCATTAAAATATTTCTTTAGAAATTTGATACTATTTACACTTATTTTATCTGGATTGTAGACTCATTTTATCCTTCTTCTAGATTCTGGTGTATTTTGTCAAGTCATGAAAACAAGCTTTTTGGGGGGGGGGGATAAAAATCTTCAAGTTTTATTACAAAAACATTACATTGGCAATGATGATTTCTCCACTTTTAGTCAACTTACTTTAGTCTGATGTTAGACTGCTAGCAAATGACAAATCCAAAATACTGAGCATAATTTATTTGCTTTATGTGAAGCTTGTTTTTCCTGCTAATAAACAGGAATAACTATGCATTTCCAGGGGGGATAAAAGGCATCTACAAACTATTTACCATTTGCGGTGGGTTGAATTGTATCCCCTGAATTTTCATGTATTTGAAACTTAATCCCCACTGTGACAGTGTTAAAAGAGTGTGGGAAATCCTATTACAGTAATTGAAAGGTGGGGCTTTGAAGAAGTGATTAGATTGTAAGAACCATGCCCTAGTAAATGGGTTAATCCATTGATGATGTAAAGGTGGTCACAGGCATGGTTATGATGGCTTTAAAAGGAAAGCGCATGAGAAGCTCTCTCTCTGCTCAAGCCATCTGTCACATGACACCCTGCATGGCTGAATAGAGCCACCACCAAAGAAGGCCCTCATCAGATGTGTTCTCTGGACTTCCCAGCCTCTGAAACTGTAAGCAATAAATATTGTTTTTGTACAATTTACCCAGTTTCAGGTATTATTGTTATAAGCAACAGAAACGGACTAATAATATACCATTGTCATATTCAATACCTGAAATTTGAAGAATTTTCTAAAATACATTTTTTCTCCACCCTGAGTTGTATAACTCACAGCACACACCAAGCTGAAACAGAAAGATGTCTTAATGATTCAGAATCATTTTCAATTTTATTTCTTAATAGTAAATCTAACATACCTCAACTCTACTTACAAATTTGGAAGACACTTATATCAGTGATGTGAATGGGTAGCCAAATGAGATTAGAGCAGAAAAAAAAAGTTCCAGCAAATATGGATATAACTACATGAATAAGAAAGCTCTAATTAGTAAAATGAGATACAGCATTTTTTTTTTCCTTTTTGTCTTTTTTTCGTGACCGGCAACGGATCGCAAGCCTCAGTGTCGCACCCGTACCAGACCGGGACCGGCAACCGGATCCCAACCCTCGGCGTTGCGCCCGCACCTTGCTCAGCCAGTGAGCGGCCGGTCTGTATGTGGGATCCGAACCCTCGGCAGGAGTGCCGCCGCGCTCCCAAGCGGCGCACTGTAGCAGTGCGCCACCGGGCCGGCCCCTAGATACAGCATTTTTGGAGTAAGTAGTCAAAACTTTTCCTTTGAAAGGTGAAATATATTAAAAAATAATTTCAGAGTAACCAAATAGTTGAATGTAAAAAAAAAAATCTTTACGTAAACTAGAAAAAAATTATCAATTAAAAAAAAAATTCCAAAAAGATTATTACGTAAAAAATTTTTTAAATTAAATAGATCAAAAACACTGAAACAATTAAAAAGCAGATAACAAAACAGGATAAAATACGTCTAACGATATGATAAGAAAATGATAGATTTTTAATATACAAAAGGTTCAAGTCAATAAAACATCAATATTTCACTCAAAATATGAGGAAAGGAATACATAGATAAATCTATAACTATAACTAACAAAAATGTGAAAATGTTTAGCTTCATAAGTAGTAAAAGAAACAAACTTAAAAACTGAGATTTTTCCATCTATGAAGATTTTTTTTTTTCCCTTTTTGTCTTTTTTCTTGACTGGCAACGGATCGCAACCCTCAGTGTCACGCCCGTACCGGACCGGGACTGGCTACGGGATCGCAACCCTCGGTGTTGCTCCCGCACCTCGCTCAGCCAGTGAGCGGCCGGTCTGTATGTGGGATCCGAACCCTCGGCGGGAGTGCCTCTGCGCTTCCCAAGCGGCGCACTATAGCAGTGCGCCACTGGGCCGGCCCGTCTTCTATGAAGATTTTGAAAAAATTCTTTATAAGTGAAATCAGAGTTGCTGAGGGCAACTGCTAGTGGTTGTAAGGAATTGAGAAAACAATCTTTTAGTAAAACAGCCTTAAAAATACTTATATGTTCTCATAGTAAACCCACTTCAAGTAATTTATCATAAGGAAATATTAAGATGTTCATCATTGTTATTTATAACAGCAAAAAACTGGAAATAATCTAAATGTCTAATGTATAGGGTAAACAAAGTACACTGTCCAAATGTGTAAGATGTAGTCATTTTAAAAATCATGTTTTCAAAGAATACTGACCTGATGTGGGAAAATATTCACCGTGAATTAAAAAGGATTAAACCATGAATAATATGATCAAAATTATGTGTAAATTATTTATACACATTTGTTATACATATGTGCATAAAAAGACTGGAAAGAAATATATCAATATTTTAATAGTGGTTATATTAGGTGGTAACATTATTAAGTAATTTAATTTCTCTTTTATACTTGTGCCAAGTACCAAGCGAGGGCCTATGGAGAGTTGATTGAAATACAATACCTGCCTCAAAGTGCTCACAGTAGGAAGTAGTGTAGCAAGGTACAGGTTTTGAAACTAGATTTTGATTTGAGGTCCATGTCTTTAAAATTAGCTATTTAATACTACAAGAGTTTCATGGGGATTTTACACACTTATTATCACTTCAATAAATTCAATTTCAACAGATATTGGCCAATGTTCTCTGCTGGATCCTCAGGATATAGCAGACTTCAGGAACCTCATACTTTAATGAGGAAGGCAAGCACTCAATAAGTAACTGTAAGTACAAAAGACATTAAAAAATGATAAGTTGTGGGTGCTATAAAATATACAAAAAGGGGGATTAAATCTAGTCTAGGAGGTTAGGAAAGCCTCTTTGAAGAAGTCATGTTGAATCTGAAATACAAAAAAGAAGCAGAAGTAAACTAAACAAAATGCCATAGGCATTCCTGTGTAAGGAAAGAACACATTTCAACCCATGGAGTTTGGCAGTAAAAGAAGTCCTGTGTGACTGCAGTGTGTATGTGTGTCGGGGGGGAAGAGTAACAAAAGGTGAGAACTAGAATGATTGCTAAGGATCAGGAAGGGGAGAACTTTGTAAAACATATAAAAAGCCAGAATTTTCTAAGGGTAATGGGAGGTCACTGAATAGTTAACTGACTTATAGAAGATAACATAATTAGTAAGTGATAAAACTGAAATTTGAACTCTAAAATTTGACTCCAAAGCTCATACCAATCACGGGATATATATTAAAAAGTGCCTACAACAGACTTTGTCACCAAAATTAGCTGATTAAATAAAAGCTGATATTATACACTTTAATAGGCACAGACAAAGAGAAGCAAAGTGGTGATGGAAGTACAGGGGAAGAAGAGGAGATAAATGAGAGCTATTAAGAAGAACTAATACGATTTTGTGAATTGATTTGATGTGGGGGTGCTAAGGGAGATGAAGAGGGCTAAAATTACTTCACATGGTTGAAATTTTCATATTTGCCTCTCAGACTGAAAGAAAAACAGAGCATCCATATTCCAATACATACACAGCTCAGGAATACAGAATTTGAATTTTTTTTCACAACTTATCTTATTTTGGTTCTGTATTTCTGAGTTCTCAGGGTAGAGTGTATATATCCAGTTAAATACAGAACTTAAAAATTCTGAATTTAAAAGTAATGCAATGAATCTCAGTTGCTAGCATTTTAAATGTGCATTTATACAGATAATAATAAATACACATTTAGACTGAGTGCTACCTAGGTTTTAAACTTTTGCATGACTTTTCTTCTTTTTTAGATAAGATTTTAGATGCAAAAATGAAATGAGATAAATGATGGTAAATTAGACTTTTTTTTCTTACAAAACAAACATTTTGTTTAAAGTTTGTTTCTGGTAAGCATGTAAACATGGAACATAAATTTCTTAAGTTCTTAGGCTTAATGATGATAAATAGAAAGCAAAAATTTCAAGTAAAAGAATATGTAAATAAAAGCCTTTGAAAACTAGTAAAATTAATCCTTACATGTGTGTTCCAATTTCCTTTACTTCATGGTGTATGACATCATCAATACAACAATCGGGCTTGAGTTCAGCCACTGCTGCATTGGAGGCTGAGAGATTTAAACGCTGAGAACTTGTCTGGAGATCAGCCTTAGAAGAAAGAGGTAAAAAAAAAAAAAAAAATCCAAATGAGATTGGTTACCTACAGGGTGTGGATGGGTATGCGTGGAAAAAATAGGGAAATAAGAATAAGGAAGTAGGAATGAAGGGGGAGCAATATCTCTGTGTAAACCTTTCTGTATAGCTCTGATGCTTAGAACTAAGGCAATGGTACAACACACACACACACACACACACACACACACACCTAAAATAAATAAAATCAATCAGAAAGTAGAGAGAATCCAAAGTAGAATACAATAGAATACAAACAGTAATAAATAATACTAACTGTATCACAAATGAAGAATACAGCCATACTATGTGGGAAGGAAGGGAAAAAAAGAACTAACTTAAGTAAGTTTGGAAAACCTAAGTAAGCCTTGACTGTAGTCTAAGGCTAAAGACAAAAAGAATGGTACACAAATACTGTACTCTAGTACATTTGATTTTTCTCAGAGGAATGAGGTAGCAATTCTGAAACTATGTATTTTATGTGTATACTAGGACTAAACAAAATACTGTATCATGTATAATAAAAGACAGGTTTCTTACCTTTGGAGAAAAAAGGTATAAATAAGGAAAGGGGGATGGCTACAATGAAACCTTTGGTGCTGGACTGGAATTTGAGACATCAGGATGAACATATGGTTTTT